TGTCCATTTCATCCGTTGGCGTGGTTTTCCAGCCTTTGTGGTCTGTGGATGTATTGCCACAAAAACACCAAGGCTAGGTTGATTCCTCACATCTGTTGAGGGCATTGCAGTAGCCATGTTGGGCCGATGCTGCTTTCGCCACCGGTAACTAAGGGAGATTGTGGCCTATTTTTCGAACGTGAGCCTATGCCTAACCCACGAACGCGGACCTTGTTAACCCGGGCGACGTCCGAGCCGGTAACTTTGATCTGGTTACTACCATAATAATTATCTCCACAGAATGTGGGTGTGGTCACTCTTAGCTTCATTTCTCCCCATAGACCTTACTGGCATGGGAGTCACTACCAGGAGCTTGTGTTCCAGCCTGCATTGCTCTATGGTTCAGTAAAATTACTGGGCTCTCCCACCACGACCAGGTGGTGACCATGGGAGAGGTATTATTGTTGTTGTTATTGTTATTATTATTATTATTATCATCATCATCATCATCATCAATTCATCTCGATTATATATACAGACAAGACACAAAATAAAATTTAAGGCACGCGATGAAAAAACACTGCTGAAACTAGAAACGCCGAAAATTAAAAATAAACTAATTTTCATGAATTGCTGCAAGTAATTTGGGCCTGATCAAATGCAGCTGTTTTACCGTGTTACCCCAGATTGTTTCCCGAGTTATAAACATAAAGTACTGTCAGAATGAACAAAAGAAGCAATAAATCGCATTACCGTATAGCTGTAATATGTCATGATGTTATAAACAGAAGTGATTACTCATTGGAAAATATGATACACCTCGATGCTTTAAAAGTCTTAGAATCGACTGTTTACCAGTGAAGTATTCTGCCAACAAGAGTTCATGGATGGTTTACAAATATTTTTCGGAAATAGCTTATGAGTTGCAATTCAGAACTGCAGAAAAAATCAAGAACAATTCTGCAACTCTTGGATGAATATGCTCATCCTCAAGTGCAGTGTTTCAGAAACATTCATCTGAAGTTTCTTCCGACTAATAACACACACACCCTTAATGAAACTATTAAATACGCAAATCATAAAAATTTTTAAAGCATTGTAACGCGAAAGGCTGGTACAAGACATCCTTGAAGCGATTAAAGAAAATATCTTACTAAATGGATGGAAAACGAACGACGTCTGTGGCAGCGCCAGTTCTAATTTTAAAACTTTGGTTTTAATTTGATATATATTTTCATTGTTTTTATAGGAAAGTTTTTAATTTTGACGGTCAAGTAGCCTACAAGAAAAGGTCGGTCGTCAAAAATTTTATTCCGGAACATTGATACTGTATAAGCTGTGATTCAACAGACTGCCTTCAATTTTTAATATACAAAACATTGTGTTTAGTTACCATAAATGTTAATTCCGTACCGAAAGCGATAATTTTAGAAAAGGAGCGCTGTGTATTATCCAGTATTTGTTTCGAATCTAACAGCTAGGTTATAAATGCGTTGTAGTGAAGAATACCGTATATGAGTACGACAATGAACAATCGAATCGTAAGAAATTTAAAAAAAATGCAGCACTTTCATTATGTTGTTTCCTTAAAATTTTCTCACCACTTGTAGAATTACAATATAGATTTATCGCAGTTACAGGAAAATAATTAATTCCAAATATAATTAGATTACAGAAAATTCAAGGAAAAAATAAGTTTACGTCGAAATTATTTGTAATAAGTAAAATTTAGTAACATTCATTTTTATTTAAACGATTCTCAATTTGCATTTAATTATAATAGTTACCTTGGGATAAGACTTGTTTCATTATTTATAAAACATAATTTGCCGAACTTTTTTATCCTCATTGAAGTGTATTGTTCTAATGGCACAAATGTTAATTAATAAGTATTATTTCTTTACACAATAGATATTATTCAGCTTTGATGAATGTTTATAAGCAGAGCATTCCAATTTAATAACGTCAATGCATTGTCTTACAGTTGTCAGCGTTATAATTAATATTATTATTTTATTTCTGGACGTCTATAATTATTTCTTTTTATTTAAATACTAGCAGGTAGACCCGGCGTTGCTCGGGAAAAAGTAACGATAGCGAAGATTATGATTATTACGTTATAGCCAACCTTACCTGTTTTCAAATAATGCAAGAATTGGGTCCACCTGTTTCCAGAGTAATTAGAGAATTTTTAGATGGGTCTGAAAATATGTTCGATATCCCGCAAAACGAAAAAAAACTGCATCTGCGTCTTGCACGTCGCTTTCTGTTAACAATTCCATTATTATTTACACTTCTATTGTTGATGGAAGTGTTAAACCTTAATTCTGTCCCTCTCCCCAGTGGGGAGGAATTTCGAAAAATCCCTTCTTAGTGTGCATTCTCGTGACGTACCTAACCGTGTACCAAACTTCAACTTTCAACTCCTAACNAGAAATAAATTTCTCAAAATAATAAATAATAAAAAAGTCAGTTAATTGATGGTCAATGTCAGAAACGTTAAACAATAAAAATAACGTAACAAAAAATCGCATCTAAAATAGTACATTAGAAGCCGTTCTTCCGGTTAAGACTTAATTCTCTCTTTCTCCCCCCCGACGGAAAATTTGGAAAAATCCCTTCTTAGTGCACGTTTTCATGACGTACCTTAACTGTGTACCAAATTTCACCTGTTTAGGTTCAGCGGTTTGCTCTGGTTGATGATGAACCAGTGAGTGAGTGAGTCAGTCACTCAGGACAAGCAATTTTATATATATAGATAGAGTCAATAATGATAAAGATGTTCATATAAACTATTTTTATTCCTATGCATTAATTCAATACATACATTTAATTTTATAATTGACATTTCTATAAACTTGCATAAGTTCAAAAAAACTATCGACTGTTACAAACAGCAATAGTTATATTATCGTGTAGCGAGAATATTTATTTGTTTTTTCCAAGGAATATGAACGGAATCGACCATACTAAGAATAATGGGTAATACAATGAGACCGTTCAACACTGAGAATATCATAACTAAAACAATTACTTTAAAAAATACAATTAACAAATAAGACGGCCCGAAAATGCAAACAAATGCTCCAATGACAGTAGATAAACATCCTTGAACAATCGGATATCCTATGCATTGCAAGGATGCTTTTATTTTCTCACTAGGATCTGTTTCTTTGCAATTCTTGTAAGCATGAGCGATGTGCACCGAGTAATCAACACAAAATCCTGCACTCATAATTAAAAACATTACAGAAATAAGGTTTAAACCCACATTCCAAGCACTTCCATAACCCAAAGTTTCTACTTGAATACAAATAACCGTAAGTAACACAACAATACTGTAAGATATGTCAGATATAAATGTAAAGAATATAACAAATACCGAAACAATAGCGATTCCTATGGCTTTGAAGTACATTACAAACATATTTAAATATTGATCGTACAATACAAACCACGTGTTATAAACAAACACATCATATTTGCTCTCAGCTGCAATTTTACGTATTTCTTCGATAAAGAATTTTTCATCACTTCCGCTTCTGACGTTGCGATAAGTAAGTAAACATCTCGAAGCGACAATTTGATCACGTTCGTTATTCCATACGATATCACTTTCAAATATTCCACTATTAAATCTGAAAAACACCTTTTTCAGTCCTTCTAGAAATCCCTGCGTTGTATTTACATCAAAATCTTTAATCAAGTAATTTATTCTAGAATCGCGAATATAAGTCAAATATTCCCTCAACCAACATTCGGTATAATTGGGTCCAGTCATGTAAGGAGCACTTTCGAATGTCCTTAAAATGTTTTCTATATCCATTTGAACAGTTGGATTTGAGTAGTCGAGAGTTTGATTAAACACTAGTTGTACTCTGTGAGGATATTCGGTGAAATATTGATAATATATTTTGGTATATTTAGCAGCGTATGAGTTAAATGGAAAAATATCAGTGTAATCTAGTCCTTGTTTTATTGAATTAATATTGTAAATTGCTCCTGCTAATAGGGAAATGGATGAAAATATTACTATTATTTTCGTAACTTTGTTACTCAGAAAAGTACCCAGATATTCGGGAAAATTTTTTATAGACTTGAAAATTTTCAAAACATTTTCGTTCCTGGTTGATTTTCTTTCTAAAAAAATGTAATTTAAATTTAAATAAATCAGATAATAATGCTAATTTATTGCTAAATTATTAATATATTAATAATTTCGTAAACGTAAGTTGGGTTTTCAAATTGTTTAATGACGTGCTGTACAAATTCGAATTTTTTATAACGTGTTTTTAAAACACATTTTTAAAACGGAAACGCTTGAGAAATGTGTCCTATTAATTAGAGAAGGAGCCATTTGTATTTACGGCTACGTGATCAAGATTCATTCGAATCGGAGACTCGAACGTCTGGCCTTCTCTTTGTCAGAATTATTTAATGCAGAGGTAAACGTACAAAAAATTTATTATTGACAATTTCAGAGATTATCAAAGAACTGTCTCGTTTATTAAATGTAATTTTTGACTGCCTAACGCATAGAAAGAATGGGTGAAGAAAGCAATGATTTTGATTGCCTGTGTACCATTCAACGTGAAAGGAAATATATTAAAAACTTGGAAGAAAAGTTATAATATATTTGATGTCTTTAAAGCCAGGTAGTGCTTACAAGAGAAGACTTTCCTTGGAAAATAGAACAATACAGATTAATAATTAACACAGGTTAGAAAACAAAAATTTGCATATTTTAAATTAAACTGATAATTAGTGAGAATGCTCACAAGGATAGTAAGAAAGTAGAGGAAGACGTCTGTGCTACCAACGAGTTTTTTAGGAATGTGATGCATTGAATAAACAAAACCTTATAAGCACTTAGTTTGGAATATGAGTGAATGGAAAAAGGAACGTAAAATAGATTATTGCAAGTTCTGGAAGATTTCGTTCTTTTTCAACACCTCTGGAACCCACAAGAAGCTTTTCGAGAGGAATTGACCTTTTTATTTGTGACTACTCATTCGCATGCATATACATAAACTCTTAAAACTAGTGTAATGATACTGATAATTGGTAAAGAACTGAAAGGCGTTTTGGTTTGACCTTTTGAGGATCGGTTGTTTAAGTGACAATAATGATACTGAGCCGAAGAAAAAAATATTAATTATACTTTACTCGTCGTTTCTGTGGTGAGATAATGCAGACTCGTTCTGGAAGATATTGTATTTCGTCTCACGAAACTGTGCTTTGATTGTCAGAATTATCTTGGCAAATAAGACATTATCATGGCCCTCTTCTTTCACAGACCGTGTGAATTACACAAAATTTCTCTTTCTTCAAGGACATCTTACAACATTTTTTTTTATTTTGCGCGATCGTAATCATATTATCTTTCATACACTATCGTTAATAAATGCTTTGAACTTTTTATGTTGTTATACGTTATAATTAATAACAGTTTTGCTATATATTAGTTAATAGACATAAATNACGAGATACATCATAAACTTAATTATAGTGACATTTTCTAGTTACAGAGCCGAAACAGAAAAAAAAAAGCCAAAAGGAAAAAAAAGTGCGTAGACCAAAGTGCATCTCTACTTAAATGATAACGCTTACGGTACTGAAGTGGTGATGGCGATAGTGGCGAGCATAAAAGCTGAAGGAGTTTGCCTCCATATAACAACTTTATCATAGGCATATTATTATCTATCAGCAAGCAAATTATTATTAAAAAATTACCTCTCTAGAATGTAAAAAAAATCAGGTAGCTTGTTCTATATAACGCTATTTTGTTAACCCCTAAACAACCCTATAATCGATCTATATATGGATTCTAACCAAAGACTAGACGTGATTTTACTCTGATCAATTATCTCAACGATATCAAATTTAGATAATTACAAGGAACTCGATTCGTTTCTTCAACTTACCTATAAAACACGAAGAAAATACAATAATTAGCGTGATTCTGGTTATAATGAAAACTTTTAATTGAAGTAATTAAAATTAAATGTAATTTTTGTAATTTTTTTTCTTTATTACACTATAAATACGAAGATTCTATTCACCAAACAATTATATCCATTACGATTTTAACATTTAAGTACGTTATTAAAACATTTGAATGATTTTCTCTGCTACAAAAATCGATACAAATATTTTTTTGAATGAACGTTTTTATAAATTACGATAATCTTAATTTTAAGGTCAAATGTGAGTTTATAATAAAAAAACAAGTAAAACGGCGAAGCCATTTTTGGACGAAACTATGCGCAAATCTCGCACTCGCGCCTATTTGTAGAAACAGTCTGAACATTTCGTAGTTTTTTTGACCCGGTTTTCGTTCCCGTGACCTACCTACAAGTCTGGTTTATTTTATTTGCGCATGATTTGGGTACCAAATACTCTGCGCCAAATTGCAACTCCTTACATGAACTCCTTCATACTTCTAAGGTGTGCGTGCAGTCGTTGACAGCAGGGCGATTTTAGAGACGAAGCATAGTCTTGTCAAAAATGTAAATGCTAATAACTAGTAAACTTTTCATTACAATAAGTTCAACCCCTCTCCAGATATAACATATGACCTCCTCTATCTCTCTACCCCCTCGACCTCTAACCAAAATTTAATAGCGTCGATGTCACCTACACAGTGCCGTAACTAGCCATTCCTGTGCCCTGTGCAAGAATTTGCATTTAGGCCCTTTAATTAATTAGGTTTTGGAAAATAGTAAAACAAATACAGTAATACCCCGAACTTACGCGATAGGTGGGACCGAGCGATAACCGCGTAAGTCGAATTCGCGTAAGTCGGGGTATAATTTCGCATATAAATACATACAAATAATTTTTAATTGGGGCCGGAGACTAAAGAAAACAATAATTTAGAAAAAAATGTTTAATAAAATCTTAGATAACACATATGTATAACAAATTAGGCCTATATTATTTTACAATTTTTCACATTTATTGATTGTTACGCCATAATTTTAACATTGTTTCCATCTCAGCGATAATACTGTGACGTTTACGAATGATGCTTGAATTTAAAGATTGAGCATTTTTCACAGCTTCGATAATTTTTTTCTTTGCCTTTTATAATTGTTCTGACCGACAATTTCGGTAGATCAAACTTCTTTGCCAATTCACGAATTTCATTTTTGTATCGAAGTCTTTAATAATAACGAGTTAAACGCGTTAGTAACGAATCGTTCGAAAAGTCTAACAAAATAGAAATAACGATGACGTCATTCTCGCTTAACTCGTTCGACTTTACGAACATACCCAATGTTAACTTTACATTCCAAAGATAAAGTTTTTCTTTTCTTGTTTGATGCGGAAGAATTAGTTCTACTTCGTTTGGATGACATAGTAGAGTCTCTCGAGTCTCCGTAGATATAACAAACACAGAAATAAATTGTAGCTATGTGTGGATTCCGCGCGACACAACCGAATACGTAAGCTGAACAATAGTGTGGGGGGAGTGAGTAATCAAGGGTTGCGTGGCGCTCAAACAAAAGATGAATCGACGAGATTTGAAAATCGCATAACTCCGCGTTCGCGTAAGTCGGGGTATTACTGTACTGTACATGCATTTTGGGCCCCCTTCCAAGTGGACCCTGTGCGGGTGCACCTGTTACACCTGCCTAGTTACAGCACTGCACCTACATACAAATTATTATTTCAAATTTCGTTTCTGAATCTTTATGCCTTCCTGAGATATTAAACGAAATAGACGTCAACGCACACATTCACATATAAATACCCCACGGCATTTATTCCTGCTTTTTTTTATTTTTTGGGAATTCAAAACCTGGACATTTGCAAAAAATCCAGATGTTTCAATTTCCAACCATCGAAATAATTTTCTTTGTTACGTTAGGGCCAAAGATCGAAAACAATCACTGAGTGAAAAATCGACTACAACAAATTGTGACTTCCTAGATTTAGCCACAATGCGAATTTCGTGTGGTGGAACTTTTAAAAATGCAAACAACCAATTTGGCATTTGGCACGTCAATAAGATCCCAAAGCGAAATCCATATAATAATCAACCAAAACGCTATCTGTCAATGTGAAACCGCCACAACACGTTGGCGTATTTGTCGAATTTTTTGGCTCAATGAACGTTTTAGTTCTTTGAATCTAACGTAAACATAACAGTCGAGAAATTAAAATTACTGCTATTTTATAATTAAAAATTTTAAATAATTTTGATTGTTCAGAAAAATAACAATTGATTCTATGACTTGACATTTGAAATGTTACTGTTTATATTCTTTGAAAAATTTGTTAATTATAAGAGAATTTCTTTGTTTTTCAAAATATACAAAAATCAAAGAAATTAAAATATATTAAAAATTCCCAAAGAAATTCGTATTTCTACTTTTCTGCAAATCGGAAATGTTAAAATTGCGAATTTTACGCAGAAAACTCGGAAAGAAACATTACTTAATACATTTTTAATAGATTCCTCGTCGGTATAATTCTATTTATAATACAATCTTGCAATGTTAATTTGAAAACAGATAATTTTGTATTTATTAAAAAGAAAATGACTACTTACCTATTGTCAGGAAAGCAACAGCAACGTTCGAATCAACATATTCTACATTACAATGTAACAGTAAACCGAAGGCAGCTACTGTTCCCAGCAAGGGACTGAAATAGGCAGCAATTCCAATCAACGGTTTACTACTTACAGCATCGAACGTTAAACAAGACACGAAAGAGAATGATGTCATAATAACTCCAGAAATAAATAAAAGTGGGAAACTTAACTCGGT